GTATGAGTACAGGTACATTAGGTATGTTGGAAAGCTTCTCTTTGCCTACTCCATCTCGCTCTTCATGAGACACACTGACACATGTGAAGGTGAGAGCAAGCTTGGGGGTCACAGCAGGGTCATCCAGTGTGCAACACCCTGGAGCTGGGGGTTAAGGGCTTTGCTGAAGAGTAGCTTCAGTGGTCTTCCGGTCACAGGCAGAGCTTAGCCTATTAAATGGCTTGCCTGAAAAACAAACTAATTACATAAAAGTCCTTTAATACAGTCCAGTTTGCTGGAAATTGTCACACCGGGACACTCGGGGAAGTTCAGAAGCCTTTTATTGGGCGTGGCCAAACCGTAATCCAAACAACAAGCAGGGTTCAAAACCAGAGATCCGTCCGAGCCGTGCGTCTAAATCCGAAGGGTGAGTCGGTAAGCCGGGAAGTCAGTCCGGGGACACCGATTGGGTTGGACGGGAGCAGGACGGTTCTGGAGACGCGGGAAGAGGAAGCAGGGAGAGTTCGGGCAGAACACAAGCACAGGGGAGGGCAATCAACAGATAAAAGGTCAAACCTCAAGGGAGACTAGAACAACAAGGATAACGAAGTATTTCCACAAACAGTGAAATACGTAAAAACATGAACCAGAAACATCACTATTGAGGTTAGCATCAGCAAGGAGAACACCCAAGGAACTAGGAACGTTTTGTGTTCCATGGCCATCTCGACTGGGGACTTTTGTGGTGCCACTTTCATGTGTCACTTTCCTACCACACAACAGAAACTGTGAAATTTATGCTAAATAAGCACTTAATTTCGTACAACTCCAACTTCCGCAACTCCAAAACAAGGATAAACAAGTCATTCTGTTAATTATTTGTTAGTTATTGGGGGGATAGGTCACGATCAAAACAGGACATAGACTTCTATTTATATTTTATTTACACAACCAGTGACATGATTATCATTCATTATTTAATCTGGCCAGCAAATTGATCTTTTGTTTTCTGCAGAATGAAAAACGATGTAACGTTATTCTGCTAATAAGTGCTGGCAAGTTTCACTGCCAGCACCGGTGATATTAGACAAAACTATATTGGTTATCGATTGAATTTTCTGAGGTAAAAATATGTATGATGATATGTATTCATCAATGCATTAAATGTATTTGAGGTTCAAAAATTATTCTGCTCAATTTTTGTTCCAGTACTTCTATCAGTTTCCCGGCACTTCTGCATAACTGGTATTTTCTGAGGCATCCATGTTGTTAGTGTCATACTCATTTGATCAGCAAGTAGTCGATATCAAGCTTAAAGCATCATCACAGAGCAGTAAAGCTGACTTGTCGAGTTGACTACCCTGTGCAACCCCTATTGTAAAGTGGTTCCAAGATTTTTCCAAGAATTTTCAATCCCAAATCCCCCTTCCCAGACATAGGCCACTGCTAGTTTTATACGAGAATGAATCAGAACCTAATTTTTTATGGCTAATTTTATTCGGGGTAGCTAAAGCCATAGGTCCTATAGAATGTCATGATTCTTGCCAACTTTATATTGTGCAGGTAACACAGTTTTCGGGCTCCTGTACTCTATAGTTTACCATGAATTAAGACATCACTGCAGATTACAAGAACCTTACATATTTCCTTTCATGAGATTGATACATCTCCTTGTATTTTTTCACATCCATCCATCCATCCGTCATCCATAATGGCCTATCCAGTACAGGGTTATGGTGATTTCAAACAGGGAGAATGACTTACTAATAAATGTACAAGTAATATCCCATCTTCATGGTTTGAATTGACCGAAGGCTTTGCGAGTATGTCACCAAGGCATTTTATTGGCTGCATTTTAACCAAGTTTTGTTCCTGTATGCAAAAATCCAAAAAAATTGGACAGAATTTGGCAGAACAAACAGAATTTGTATTTTTTCTAATTACAGTATGTACTTAGATAAATGTAATACGCTGAACTGCACTCATAGATGAGATTCAGCATGGACAACATTCAGCTGTCTGTTCTATCATGAAAATCACAGCACTTAATTGGAATAACATAAAAGCAATTGTCACAAGACTCCCGCTGCTTCAGTGTAATCGGGATGTCAAAGTTTAAATTACGTAAACATTACCGAGTCATAGCAGCAGTTTTAGCAGCCACGTGCCTCATAATAGGTGGAATACCACAGAATACAGAATGAATGATAATGATATTAAATACTGACTGAGAAACAACAGAGCTCTGTAACTATATATTTCTCTTCTTTGACTGTTGGGTTCTGGAGGCTTGAAGGCATACTGATATTATTGCATTTCTGTAATAGTCAGAGATTAACATATTTCCCAGTGTTAGTTCGTCCATAATCTCTGCTCATTGCTCAGTCTAGGGATATCCAAAACACCCTGTAGCTTGCGCTGACGTTGTATGAGGAATCTATCAGTTTAATTTCCCAGAGGAGGCCTCCATAGCAACCAAGGAGCAATAGATTTCACCAGCTGTGTTTCCAAAGCCTACGGCAGACTCTGGCAGCAGCTGATCTCACACATTTTTATTGTTATCATGTACCAAGAGCACACCTACGTGACCTAGAGGTCACCACTTCCTCACAGCAGCAGGTGTGAATCCATGGATTGAAAAAAAAGCTACAGGAAGCCGATACTGAAATCCTGCTTCTCTTGACAGTCACCCTTACATGGGCCTGTATTCTGCACCATCCTGTTGGGATTCTGCATTTTTAAAATGTATATCATTTCATAGATTCAATCAGCACTGTGCCAAGGAGAAAACGACAGTGTGCAGTAGAATAGCACATTCTGTATGAATAGAATAGAATGAATAGAATGCAGTGGTGAAGTCAGGCATAGTCAATAGTTAAAAATTCCATTCACAACGATCGTCTGTATATGCAGGTATATAACAACGGCAAGTTCTGTTTTTGAATTAGAACAGAAGTTCAGCCAGTGCTTTCATGGTCGTGAACAGGACACACAGTCCAGAGGTTTATGATACTAGCAGACAGACATTTTCTGACCGTGGCTGCGTTACAGCCACGCTGTTTACTGATTTACTGAAACATTTACTAATTCTGGAAGGTGTTTGATACAATGTGTTCCCTAAATTGAAATCACGTTGGTCAGGAGTCAAAATATTTTGTTTGCACAAAGAATTGGAATGATTATAATTTCCATACAATTAGAATATCAACCAATGGACAATTATTAATGATTATGTTGCCATATAATGCTAGGTAGTCAAGGAAACTGTCTTTCACATAGCTTAAAATGTCAGCTTGTATAATTGGCAATTGTTTTGTTATGTAAATTGTACAAACACAATTGTGAAATAACAGAATTTAAATAAAAGGTTGCATTATGTTATCTTCACAATTATCAAATGGGCTATTTTTCATCATGAATTTCTTGCCAGAAGACAACACAATAATAACTGGGATAGTCAATGATTGGCTTACTGGTGTCAGAGAAGTGAAGGACTTGTAAATGGGGCCATAAGAATTAGGCCCTAAGGGCCTCGCTACTCTTGAGCAAGGTAATTAACTGGAATTGTCATTGTGAACAATAACCAGCTGCATAAATGGGGACAAAGCAAATGCAAAACATTTAAAGCATGGGGTCAAACCATTGCTGATAACAGATTAATAACAAATAGCAAGGAAAAATGAAAAACAAGATTTCATTGTCGTGGTGTAATTCATATATGTTCGAATTTATAATGAATTTGTGAGAATTCAAATATCACTTATTACAGGTAACAGCATTTAGTTTAAATAATGCTTTCATTAAATTAAAGACATCCGGAGGTAGTAGGTCTTTAGCATATGATAAGATAAAACAGAAATGTACATAGAGTAGCTAGATAAATAAGGTGCACACAAACAAATATACAGTGCAAAACAAAACGTGCTAAGACAGTACACGCAGTGCAGACAAATGCAGTGCAAACGATTTTTTGAAAAAGTATACAGTTCAAACAAATGAACTATCCTGAAAAGAAATTTCAGGATTTCTGCTGGCAGAAGGCTACGCTGAGCAGCAGGTTGCTTCCAGGCTCAAAATTTCTAAGACAGCAGTACACAAGAACAAGGTGAAGCAGGAGACACTGGGAACGACCAGAAACCAGCCAGGTAAACAGCCAGTGACTTTGTAATGCCAGAGATGACTGATTAATTTATCAGACAGTTTCTCATGAATCATAGGATGGCATCAAGTGACCTTCAAAAGGGAAACATTAAGTGCAGGTGTGAAGTGCACTGCTAAGACAGTTCATATCAGACTCCTAGAAGCAGGACTGAAGACCCATAAAGCAGGGAAGAGGCCCTTCATCAATGAGAAGCAGGAAAGAACCAGGCTGCAGTTTTCAATAAAATATGAATTTTACACAGGCACATAACCCATAAACTGAGAAATAATAATTGATGCTTGACTAATCCTCATGTGGAAATTCTCCTTACACTTTCTCCTTATACTTGTATACTTATACCTGTGTCATTTAACTTTATTTCACATAACTTAATCTATGAACTAATTTGTTTTGATTTCTTTGTATGTGTGGATTACTTGGGTTGTTACCGACATCTGGTGTAAATTTCATGTCAATAGATCCTTTAGAAATATATTTACTGAGAAAAATGTTGACGCGTTCAATACTTATTTTCCCCGCCGTATATTCCCCTTTTTTTGGAGTCTGTTTGCTCATGCAAAATGAAATGCGATTAATATAGATTAAAAATGAATGATATTTAATCGTGATTAATCGAAATTAATCCACAGCAACCCTGTGATTAATCTGATTTAAAATTTCAATCGTTTGACAGCACTTAAAACTAAACCCATAAGAATTTAATCTTTATTCCAGTGGAGTAATTTGATGTACTATCATACCACGAATGACACTTACAGCAACAAACAGGAATTTGGGTTGAAAAAATAAGTAAAAAAAAAAAAATCACAATCATCAGCCCAAAAGACAAACTCATTTACGGTGTTCTGTGTGTCCTCAGGAAACCTGTCCTGCCCACATTCATGGGGAAGAAACTGGAGGATGACAGAGTAGATATGGTGGGACAAGGGGACCAGATGTGGAGGTGGGACGCAGCGGATGCCGTTTATGGAAATTCCAGCCTTGCCTACAGCACAAACTCTACCCTGGCCACCCGCAACGTCTCCAACATGACTGGCGTCACTCTGTCTCATCCTTACTACCAGCACTCAATGACTGTGGCCGCCAGTTTCATCATGGCCTACTTGTTTATCTTCTTGCTGTGCATGGTGGGTAATGGGCTGGTGTGCCTGATAGTGCTGAGAAACCGCTGCATGCGAACCGTCACCAACCTCTTCATCTTCAACCTGGCCATCAGTGACCTGTTGGTAGGCGTCTTCTGCATCCCAACCACACTTGTGGACAACCTCATCACAGGTAATGGTTGTAATGCACTGACATGTAGCAGTAGAAGCTGGTCTAGATAGGGAAGGGTCACATGGAAAAAAAAAAAATCTTAAATTAAGCAAGCAAGCAGGGGGAAAAGCACTAATTTCCATTTACCAGTCAGGGTCTTGGAGGGAGCATGGCTGCACCTCCCATGAAGACGCAGGAAGCAGGGGAAAGTCGATATCAGGGTTCATGCGCATGTGCCATGGGCAACTCGGCAGAGCTGGAGATTTCAGGTCCAGAGAGTACAAATCCAGACTTTGTTTCAACCAGCCAGTTGAGCATAAAGACTCACAGTCACAGAGGACTCAACTGGTTGGCTGAAACAAAATCTTGGTCTGGATTTGTACTCTCTGGACCTGAAATCTCCAGCTCTGGAACTCGGACAGCTCACTGTGCGCCTTGGGTCTGTGGCAGGAAACCTGCACAGAAATGGGAGGACATACCAACTCCAGACACACAGTGGTGCCCCACAGACAAACCCTGAAGGTGTGAGGCGACACTATGTGTGCAGCATCCTCCACAATTATTGGCACCCCTTGAAAAGATTTGTAAAAAAGGTTTAGAAAATATGTACCTTTCGGTCACGCTGAAAAATTGTGAAAAATCCAACCTTTCAATAACATAAATTTATTCCAAGAAAAAGAAATCCTTCATCAAGAAATAATTATCTTTAACCAAAACACATGTGCCACGATTATTGGCACCCCTGCTTTTAATATTTTGTGCAACCTCCCTTTGCCAGTATAACAGCACTAAGTCTTCTCCTAAAACATTTTAGAAGACTGGAGAATAACAAACAGGGCATCTGAGTCCATTCCTTTTTACAGAATCTCTCCAGATCATCCAGGGTCCTACGCCATCTCTTGTGCTCTCTCCTCTTCAGCTCAGCCCACAGGTTTTCAGTGGGGTTCAGGTCAGGGGACTGAGATGGCCATGGCAGAAGCATGATTCAGCGGTCAGCTAACCATTTTTGTGTTGATTCCCCTGTAAATTGTACATCTTTTTCTAACCTTTTCTACAAATCTTTACAAGGAGTGCCACTAATTGTGGAGGGCGCTGTATCTAAAGCTAAACGCTAAACTTAGACAACGTTAATAGATTACTGCAACTTTACTTCTGTATTATTATGTTGTAATGCTTGCCTATTTGGGCCACTGCAGGTATAATTAGGTTTTTCTGGATGCAGAATGTAAATGAGGTTGTCTCCGTGAAATGTCGTTAATGTTCTTGTGTTAAATGCATATTTCAATAGTCATCACCCTGAAGTGAATAACTGGTTATCAAAATTAAAATGAAAATTCAGTGATTCATTCATTAATTAATTTTCATATATTTTCCAATTGCCTCACCTAATTGAATAGATTGTTTTTTTTCTGTCACTGGAGGCCCTGAAGTCTATTTTTAAATTAGAATGTCTCACTTCAAAAGCTTGCTGGAAGTCACTTGCTGGTGTTCTTATGCAGCATTTCCCAGTCAGCATGGCGCGTGCACCTTTCCGGTACCCTGTTAACACTGTGTGCTGCTTTCATTATATACAAAAAGCTGCGTTTATATCCCACAGAAGACCAATTAGAAACTTTCTTTGATCCACAACTTTACCTGCCCGTTTTATCTGATATTTATAAAGACAGTTTAAAATTATGCAGCAGAATTTTTATTGAAACACAACATAAGAAGAGCACGAACAAGCATTAACACAAGAACATAACATCCCCCTACACACATACACATAGTGACTTGATATCTATTAATCCACAAAAATGCTACAGCAATGCTACAGCTCCACTGTATTATTAATACTGCTATTCATTAAATAATTCTGTTTATGCATATTGGAAAAACCCTCTAGAAAGTCTTTGTCTAAAACATTTGACTGAATAATTAGCCAATTGCTTTAATATGGCATTTCCAGAAGGTAAATTCTCAAAACATTTCAAAACATCTACAAAGATGATTGAGACTCAAAAGTGACACAAAAGTGAGATGCAAGATCTGAGAAGAATGGAAAGCTGGACGTAGTGACACACACACACACACACACACACACACACCCCCGCCGGCGGGTGTACAGAGGCACCAGTGATGTTTACATCAAACGCCCATTGATTTACCAATATTCCTTGGTAATTGCAAAGGCTGTACCAAGCACCGGCTGTACAGCAAAATTCAATAGATAATATAAACCAAAAAAATTGCCGTTCAATTACTTTAAAAAAATTGTTTTTTTCTGTGACAGGGAAAACAGAGCAGGAGGCTTGTGAGAATCAGATGATTTGAGCCATAGTACCAGCCAAACAGTGCTACTCATCGAGTCAGTCAACAAATATGACTGGATGCCTGAAGTCTATGAAATGCATCCATCCATCCATTTTCTGTACCTGCTATGCAGGTTCCCGGGGGTCCAGAGCCTGTCCTGGAGGCTAAAGGAGCACGGCAGGGAACAACCCAGGATGGGGTACCAACTCACTGGGCACACACCCACACACGCAATTTGCTAACTCAAATTAACCTTAGCGTGTTTTTGGACTGTGGGGGGAAACCGGAGGACACCCCCCAACGATTCAAACTCCACATGGATGAAGTCAGGGGAGACTCAAACCACCATCACTGTGCCACCATTTTGTATCAAACAACAATGCCACACAACAATGGGAAGCATAAGTAATTAAATCATATCCTTTGGGGGTGAAATGGAGTTAGCAAGGTTTTATGGGATTCTGAAATAGTCCTACAGGGCCTGCCTGTTGTTCTGTTCCTTTCATAACCGTGTACTGGTTCGCTCAAGTTCTGTAAGCTATGTGTGAATAGTTGCTCATATGAAAGATTCATCCTTGCAGAATGTGCTGCATTATGAATGAGTTTCCTTAAAGGATGATTTATTTCCCATTGAGAATCTTAAGATGTCTGCAGCATGACAGCCCTAATTACACTGCTTTCTAATTTTCTGTACCGCAAACAGCCACCTGCTTGATTATATTTGTTTATGCAGATGAGACATAATCACCGGGGCCTGCCTGCCCATTAGCTGACATAGGCGATCGCCTAGGGCGCCATTTGATTAGGGGGCACAAAGAAGCGAGTGAAAAAAATCTGAAGAAATACCTTTGGATGCATTCTGTGATATTAATGTTATTTTACACTATTTTTAATATTTTGCTCCTTGTGAAACAAATTTAAGCTGGCTGTAGCAGCCAGAAATGTTTTTAATACACATGAATTAACGAAAATTGATTTTGGCTGCTTTGGGGTGTTGGGGGGGTGAGTATTTTGTCCAGGTTGCCAGTTGACCCCGGGCCGGCCCCAATAATGGCGAAGCACCATCCTGTTAACACAAAACGTGGGTTTCTTGTTTCCCTGAAACTGGAAATTCAAAGACAGAGAAATAAGAATGATGAGTCATTTTCCTAACAGGTGTATCGATTCATCACATTCAGGTTAATTACATCTTTCACAGACACTGCCAGGGAATTACCGAACACTGATAAAAAGTTGTTATCTGTTTATCACCAGATAAATTTTAACCAGTGAATGCAGATGAATAACCGGGCATTTTAAAGCACCGAAATGAGGGCTTGTCAGTCAAGTGACTGACCTTCACTGCCATAATAACCAGACAGGGTCTCTGCCAACAGGCTGGCCTTTCTCCAACGCCGTGTGCAAGCTGAGCGGCCTGGTTCAGGGGACGTCTGTGTCCGCCTCCGTTTTCACTCTGGTGGCCATTGCTGTGGACAGGTACGGGACCGTCGGGCGGGAAAGTGAAGATGGGTGAGATTAATGGAAGTGAAGGAAACAGGACAGGGAGGGAAGCAAGGCCGTTGGTTTGGTTTCAGCATTGGTAGGGACCAAATCAGCCTCGAAATCCCCGCCTCCCTAAACATACAGTACCCCCACAGTACTGGGTAGGGACATATCCCTACTGTCCATATCCAAATCTATGCCCTTGGAGGGAAGATATGTAGCAATTGGAGGTGGAAAGAAAAGGGTACAATCAGATCAAGAGAAGTACGTAGGAAGGCACATGCCTTCCCGTAATAATTGTGCTCCTCTTCTTTTACTATTCAAATCTAATCAAGTGGGGGGGGTTAGGGGTTATATCAGTGACAACACAGAAAGGTGGTAATTACCAGAAAACATACCCATGTGGAGAAGGGAGCACTTGTGTTCACCTGTCTGTGTAGCTCCATCTTCACTGTCCTTGTTGTTCTCAGGTATCGCTGCATCGTTTGCCCGTTCAAGCCGAAGCTAACGCCACAGGTAGCGAGGGTGACGATAGCGCTGATCTGGATCCTGGCGCTACTGATCATGTGCCCCTCAGCCGCGATGCTGCTGGTCGAACAGGAGGAAGGTCACTATATGGTAGACAGCGAGGACATCAACAAGACCTACCCTCTCTATTACTGCTACGAGAGCTGGCCTGAGCCAGAGATGAGGAAGGTCTACACTACAGTCCTGTTTGCTCACATATATCTCATACCCCTCGTCCTCATCACCCTGATGTACTGTCGTATCGGGGCCAAGCTGTATACCACCGCAGGACTGACAGCTGCCAGGATCCCCGAAAGGCTGCCCCCTAATGGTTCGCAGGGGAGAGCAGCCATATCGCCCAAGAAGATCAAGGCTATAAAGATGCTGATAATGGTAGCTTTGCTCTTCATGCTGTCCTGGTTGCCACTGTGGACCCTTATGCTTCTGATAGACTACGTAAGGCCAGAAGGAGCCCAGCTAGATCTCCTGACAGGGTACATCTTTCCCTTTGCTCACTGGCTGGCCTTTTCCAACTCCAGCGTCAACCCCATCATCTACGGCTACTTCAACGAGAACTTCAAGAGAGGTTTCCGGGCTGCCTGGCAGGCTGGGCTGTGTGGCCGCTGGCGAGAGTGGCTTGGCGTCAGAGGAGAGAGAAGGGTGTGCACCCACCAGGAGACAGCAGTCAACACCCATACCTTCATCCTCGGGTCAAGGAACAGAGTGCATACGGACGGTAGCCAGACAGACTGCGTTCGTCTGGAAATGGAGCAGAGGAAGTTTGAGGTAGTGGGGATGCTGTGTCCAAAATCAGCATGATGTGCAGATGAGGGTGAAACAAAGGATCGAACAAACAAGAGGTCACATGACATGGAAGGAGACGCAGCACACGTTCACTGGAGCTGGGGCAGGCCGGGCATAGACTCTGGATGTTTGCGGACACAAGCACCTTAGCACAGGCAAACAGCAAGTCCTACTATGACGGAAATGAACTCCGAAGAAACCCATTAAGTGTGCTGCTCACATATGGTGCTGCCCATACATTTGGAAGAAAAAGTCACCAAATATGCATATCCAGTGGGTTACTGGCCAGTTAATGTACTGTTCCAGTGAAACAAAGGAAGGAATTTATAGAGAGATCCAGGAACTCGTGCATGTACTCATTACAAGGTGTTGTGATGTTTATCTGAAAGGTTAATATTGTCTATCAGATAGCAAAACTGTTCCATTGTCTTTTGATTTCAGAATATATTGATTATAACTGCTTTCCACGCATGCATTAGATTGTAACACAGCATGCAGTAGTAAAAAAGCCAGTATTGTGAGCATTAAGGCTAAGTGCTATATGATTACTCTCTGTAGTATTTGCGTAGTATCAGTGAGGTTCCTTGTGTATTGATTATGTTTCAGCAAGACATAGTGGCAATATTTGTTTGATATGATTTTCATTTTGCTGTGTTTTTTGCTTTGTGTTGTATGTTTTTAAACTTGTGGCAATTTGGTTGTGCTCAGCTGTCTTGTCAGTCGAAATGGCAAAGCAACCCCTGAAAAAGCTTGAACGTAGCATTTCCGGTGTGCCAGTGCTCTGCATCTTAATGCCGTTGACTAATTGCTAATTGATCTAACAGATAATAAATGGTGTGGCAGCTCCTATTCAGCCTCGTGTCACATCTCTGTTGTAAAGACACTGGATACACACTTTTACTTGGATTTTAAAAAGATTCAGCATATAAGTTAAAGCACAGATTAAAGTGAACAATCGTTTGACAATTTGAAAAGCAATCACAGAAAGAATTAGACGTATCAACATCAGACCATTTCACAGCATTTCTAAGTAGAATAAGAAAATGATAATCATTATAATCATTTACCTCTCAACTAATAATTATATTTCTTTTGCAATATAAGGTGTCTTACTGTACAATCATGCGTCTATTTTTTTTTCCTTCCACATCTTCTGTTCAACATGATGAGGAATGACTCGTCTCAGCATGGAGGAGAGACTCTGCTGCCTTGGCACTGAATGCAGAGGTTCTGGAGGTGACAGCATGGCTCCCCTTCTATGGAGGCACAGAAGCCTTCAGCTGAGAAACTGCCATAAAGGACCCCTAATCTTCTACAAAGGAAGCAACCAGGAAGCACAGGCCATGGCCTCTGCACCCAGCATGTCACAATATGTCCCTTTACTCTAGAAAAAGAACAGCAAGGCCTTCAGACAACAGCCTTCATGTTGGAGTTCTACGAGGAGCTTGCATGCGGAGATGTTCTACAGTTCATGCATTTATTACAAGGAGAAGTATGGATTGTGTTAGGGAACATTGTACACAAGCCTTTTTCAGATAAGATATTCAAGCACAGCCACTTCTCCCAATAGTTCCAGAAATCCAATTTCACTCAACAAACAGAAAAAGAGAAAACCCCAATGTCCTTGAAATGCACTCCATTTTGCTTGTATGTTATTGCCACCTGCTCATGCATCAGTCTGAGATGCTAAAAGATGATGTGATTGGTACAAAATAAAAAACTAGCTGAAGACAGGTGTGAGGAGGAGGATGTGGCCGTCTTCATAAGAGGGAGTGTCAAGTGTATGGGGTCCATTTTGATTCAACATGCCTGTCACCCATGCCTGGCGCAGTCTGTCCCAGACACCCAGTGAACATAACCTAGCCTCAGTGCTCATTCACATTCTCAGTGGACTTGCACCCACACCTAAGTCTTTTGTGCTGCTTTTATGTGGTTTTCAGCAATCGCTGCTAACAACTTCAAATTGGCGTACAAAGTGGGTGAGTGTGGATTGGCCAGCATCCTAACTGAGCTGTTGTCTAACACTGGGCTGTGTGCTGTACTATAGCATTCGTTATTTGTGCTGTGTTTTTAGCACTTGCTAAATGTGTTTTTGTGTTACACGTTTAAGCAAGATATGGGTTCTTAAAAAGTTACATAAAAGTGCTTAACTGTACTGTGCATGTACAATGTTTTGTGTAATTTTCCCCTAAACAATATATTTGAACAATTACTGTACTGTTTATACATAGAATTTACAGTGTATAGGTACAGTTCTGTAATCTAGGCATGGTTTAAAGTATATGACTGATTTTGAATAGGTGTATATGCAAAGTAAATAGGCACTTGTATAAAAGGGACTTGAACGCAGTGGGTTGTGGAACCAATTGACTGCATAAGATGCGGGAGCAGTGTAAATACACTGCCTGGCCAAAACCAAGTCAGTTTGAATTTAAATCAATAAGTACTTAGGAGCCAATGATTAACTCATTATTACAACTCAGCAACTTTACACAGCAATAAAGTGAAGTTCCTGAATGTATTGAATGACCAGGGTATCCCAGCAATGGATTTTTTCTTTCCCAATCGCATGGGCATATTCCAGGACGATAATGCCAAGATTCACTGTGCTCGAATTGTCAAAGAGTGTTTCAGGGAGCACGAGGAATCATTTTCACACATGAATTGGCCACCACCAGTGGTGGAGGAAGTACTGAAGCTTAGTACTTAAGTAAAAGTACAAATATCCTGCAAAATATGTACTCAAGTAAAAGTAGAAGTGCTACATCAACAATCTTACTTAAGTGAAAGTACTAAGTACTTACTTTTAAATTTACTTTAAAGTATTTTTTAAGTAAAAGTACACAATGGTTTGTCTCAACGTCTGGGGTGTGCCATTTTGTAAAAGAATAGTAGATATACTGACTTACGCCTCTACCGATGTCATTGCTCATAATAATTACAAACAACTAAACAGTATATGTGTATTGGCTCTGGGTCCATGTTGAATGTCTTGTCTTCTTGAAATCAAGCCAGTCTACCAGCTCGTGCTGCTAACTGACGCGCGCTCTGACATCATTGGAGATAATAAAGCCACCTGATTGGTAGGAAATGGCAGACAACACCAGAACGCAATAGACTAACTATTTTTTCATGCAAGATTTTGAGGAAATTGTGTTCATAAAATGTAACGACTAACGGCATAAATTGTAGAAATGTAGTGGAGTAGAAAGTACAGATAACTGCCGCAAAATGTAATGGAGTAAAATAAAAAGTATGCATTATTATTTTTACTTAAGTAAAGTACAAATACGTAAAAATGTACTTAAGTACAGTAACGAAGTACAAATACTTCGTTACATTCCACCACTGGCCACCACAGAGTCTTGACCTTAACCTCACTGAAAGTCTTTGAGAGGAAAAGAAGACTTAACGAAGTGGTTCAACTCACCTATCATCAGTACAAGATCTCAACAAGAAATGAATGCAGATCTGGATGAAAAGAAATGTTGAGGTATTGCATAAGCATGTGGAAACAATGCATTAACGAATGTGCACCATAATCAAAGCTACGAAATGAGATATTAAAGTGTGTGACTTTTTTGGTCAGGCAGTGTATTTTTAATGAAAACTGGCTGATACCGATACAATATACATATATCCTGCTTCTCTGCGTTGACCCCATCCATCCCCCCAGTGTCTGTTAACACTGGAAAAGGAAGCACCAGCCTCATTAAACATTCTGTGGCCTCTCGCAGTGGCATGTGGTGTTCATCACCATACCGACAGCAATAAACCACATGACAGCAATTCAAAAATCCTGGAAAAGGCAGACATGCACATGCACATGCACACGTCCCCCTTTGCACAAAACCTTTTGAATTGATCGGTGACACATTACATAGCACAGCAGCACCGGTGCACAATGGGCTTGATAGAGCAAAAACACTCATACGCCAACAATAGCCCGTAATGAGACGATTGCACCAATCAGGCATAACTGATTAGCTAATGACCACAGAGCCTGACATTTGAGAATTCTGAGAGCCACTTACCCGTTTCCATTTTCCGAAGAATGATTTGCAGGTCTTCGTGCCATTTCATGCTTGGACTGGCTCTTTTTCTCAATGCACGGTGACCGGAGCTCAGACACGCCGCTACTTCGGCTTTCATTTGGCGAAGGCACGATGGCTGCAGGCGTTGAATGCAGATCAGGGAAATGCCCATGGCAGGAATTTCCGGAAAAGGACAAAAATACAGCCACGTAAACTTCTCGAAGGCTTGTACGCATGAAGCAAAAAGCCTCTCAGAAGTAAGATGAAAGAGAAGTNGGAAATGCCCATGGCAGGAATTTCCGGAAAAGGACAAAAATACAGCCACGTAAACTTCTCGAAGGCTTGTACGCATGAAGCAAAAAGCCTCTCAGGAGTAAGATGAAAGAGAAGTTCATGTGTATAATCAACAGATACAGATAAAATCATTAAGTCCAAATGTCTAGAGCCCATTTCGATGAGAAATAGCTTGAAAATCAGTATGTATGAACTGTATTTCACTGAAAAACTGCTTTTCTTGCAAATTCATGTACACAACCCCTGTGCAAGACTTTATCCCTAGGCCCAACAATACAATGATTAAAGACATGATATATTGAAATTGCTCCATATACACTATATTGCCAAAGGTATCGGGACACCCCTCCAAATCATTGAATTCAGGTGCTCCAATCACTTCCACAGCCACAGGTCTATAAAAGCAAGCACCTAGGGATGCAGACTGCTTCTATAAACATTTGCAAAAGAATGGGTCACTCTCAGGAGCTCAGTGAATTAAAGTGCGGTACCGTGATAGGATGCCACCTGTGCAATAAGTCCATTCGTGAAATTTCCTCGCTACTAAATATTCCACGATCGACTATCAGTGGTATTATAACAAAGTGGAAGCAATTGGGAACAACAGCAACTCAGCCACAAAATGGGAGGCCCCAGAAAAGCCCCCCGTGTACCTAGCTAACATAAGTAGCTGGACCTACTTCAGCTTGCTAACAAATTTAAATGATGTACAATGAGGACTCCCTCCGGACAGAAAGCTTACATGCCGGCACACGTCTGCATACCATCCGCTTCCCCAGGGCTGACCGGCCTGCTGCCAGCACACTGCTGAAGCAGCAAAGGTGTCCTGCAGCACTTCTGCAGCACACATGACCCCTATCTGAATCGTCAGCTTTCAGCAGCAAAACGCTGCATAGTTTATTATCCCGATACGCATATTCATGGCAGGGCCACCCCGTACCTGTCTGGGGAGCCTCTAGCTCTTTTCGGCCCTTGTCTTACCATCCTGAAACACACTGGCTCCGTCTGAGAGTGTGAGGACCCCTGGAGTCCAGCGAGGTTCTTTCACAAGGTGTTCCTGCACAGATCCAGCTACAAACCGTTTTCAGTTTGCTGCAGTTACATTGTGATTTTTCTCTTTCATTATTACAGGGAGACACAAAAATATCTGCTGCACAGGACTAACTCTATCCAGGCAATGGGCTGATACATTAAGCTAATAATATCCTACCATTGAAGCAGCACCGGCTGTCCATTCTACTGTCAGTCTAAAAGTTGGCAGAAACGACACACAGGCTGCATGTGAGTGAACTGGACCTGCAACAGAAGACTAAAGGGTCAAGTCATGTAAAATTAACTTGGCTACCATCAAAGGCCTAGAAGTAGTTTCAGTAAAATATATTTGCTGCTTTTTTTCCCCACCATAACCAAAACAGTTCTAGAGTTCCAGAGTATATTTGTCAAGACACTCCCTTAATCTTCTGAGGTAAGAGAAAACATTCGACTTTCACACAATAAATACGTCAAATTTTAATATCAAGA